TGCAATATAACCGTTCTCTACGCTTGCTTGAGCTTAATTTTCTCACAGGTGAACTGAGTGACGTTCATGTACAAATAATAATTACGCAGGAAATATATATATGATACGGTAGCAGATACGTGAGAGGACACACTCGTCCGTCCATGTTGCCATTAGAGTTCTCATTTGAGCCTCCACCGCGAGGCGGCTAGGATATAGACAGAAGGCTCGTAACTCAATGGTTAGGGCGTTTGCCTCTGACCGGAGAGACGCGAGTTCGAAACTCGAGTGTAGCAGCAAGTTCAGCGGCAAAACACTAGAGTTGGGAATCACTAGCTAATGACGGCTAATGAACCAGAAATGGACATTCTAGTGTCCCATGTCTTTGCAGGTAATGTCCTTTTGCATATGTGATACCGAATGGCATTGTCGGCAAAGATATGGCAAATTACAATGGCGATTTCTGGCTTACTAGCCATTATAAGCCAGTCATACCCAACCCCAGGTGTTGCGTCGCCCGAAGCTCGAACCCGCGGCCTGCTGGCTAGAACTTCAACACTCTAACCACTGTGCCACGGGCTTGTTGCCTTGCTAGTCCTGTTGTGCCTTGCAGTTCAATCTGGAGCCCTCACAGACAGTCGCATAGCAAAAATTGGTATAGGCAGACAATTTGGCATAGACAAACGCAAGGATAGGACTGGCTCAGTCTCTTATGAAGTTTAGTTCTTTAAAGAGCACAGAAGTTACTTGTGTCAGGTACTTTATCAATGGCCATTCAAAAGTCCCTGTAAAAGGCTATTTATTATGTAAACTTTTGAGAACCTGCATTTGATAAAAATGTAGTGCATGTTAAGATTTAAGAAATTCTCCAGAAGCCAAGTCTATTTAAAGACCTCCTTTGTTAAATAAATTTTGAAGATATAAAAATATCAAAGATGTATTGTATCTAAGCGAATTTCACGATTATTTTCAACCGACACGCCGGATCTCCTTAAATATTGCATTGTATCTGCCTCCACTAAAATAACTATTGTGCGGAATTTCTCGGTCAGGCATCACGATTCGCGGAACCATTCGTCAGAGCTGAATGAAAATCTTCAGATAAAAGAGGTAAAGGTGTTTTTTACTTGAGCAGGCCTTGAATGGGAGCGAAAAGTTTTCTAATAAACACCAGCCTGTCACATCCGGTCAATTTTCCAGGAGCTACAGGAATTACAAATTTGCTGATGATTTTTCTGTTGGTCACACAAATACTCGAGGAGCCCGATGAACACTTTCGGTAGTCTGCGAGTCCATTACACCCCTTGTCATCTCCGGAGACCCCTTTCATACAAATTTTTTTGAGGAACTATCGTTGCTTGTTCAGCTATAAGCAACGAAACTGCAATGTTACCTTTACGAAACTAGGTGGCGGAAACTTGAAACACCCCAACTCCCTCAGCTCTTGATAGGGAAGGAGCTGGGGCAGTCCGCGATCAGTACCACTGCGCTGACTCACCTTTTCTTCACCTGTCGAGCTTCAGGGTCGCACATGACTGTCCGTCACACGCTCATTGCCGATCCGCCTAACCGTGAGATTGGCCGCAGCCCAGCTAGTCCTGAACTTGGCCTTGGGAGAGTTCGAAGCCAATCAGTACGAAACTACCCTTGATTGGCTGCAAGCAACAATAAGGACAAGCCCCACACGCACACAACACACACTGAAGAATAACTGGCGTTAAATGACTGTGAACAGTACTCTTCTGTAGAGCTCCTTGTAAGCTCCTACTCTTAGTTAACGCAGTCTAGCCCTATCCGTCTTCCCTGCCTTCTGGCTTTGAGAAACCTTCTGTTGGCGACTCCACTCTGTTGACAGACTTCCTTCAGTGCCCTAAATGCTGAGCCGATGGTTTTAAGGAATCGTCTGTATTCCGTCTTGAGCACAATTTCCCCTGTGAAATTGCGTATTCTCAGGCACGTTTGAATGGGCATGCATTCAGCGACCCAGGAGGTAAGAACACCAAAGCTTATATATTTAGAGACGCGTAGAAACGAAAAGTTGGGTTCGGGGGAGCATTCGGAAAGAGATATACGCGATCACTGGAACTGGAGTTTGTGTTGTTTGGCGTCCCAATTCCGACCCGCAGTCAATGGCTTCCCAACTCAACTGAGACGAGGCCTTGACAGAGTAATTAGCCAGACCAGCTAGCACAATTTCTAGCGCTAATATCGGTGAGCCAAATGGCCAAGCCATTAGCTGGCCAATAAACAAGGCGACTGATGTAAGTGTGGTCATTAACGACTCGGTTTCGGACCCTCATGCAATGATGGCACCACCTGTGGAACCATTTGCGATCAAGACTTAAACGGTCAACTTTGACAGGAATGCTCCGGCATACAAACCGCAACACCTGAAAATACTGTTCTAATAATCGCGTCTCCTTCTTCCCATGCTTGCCGACGCCCGTGGAGAGAGAGGGAGCAGCAAATTTTTGGCAGCGCTACTGCCTAGGCTTGCGATAGCAGGAACTTACTGCCATTTCGAGGCCATGACTGATTAGTTCGGGCTCCCGGGTCGGTGTCGGAAATACTTATAGCAGAGCGGCGCTCACAGCTTGGGTTACGGCACATCCTCATCCCGCTGTGTCTTGAGGCTCAAGCTTGAACTCTCACAGTCAATCGCATAGCGACTAATAGCATATACCGATAATGGAGTAGCGGCAAAGCCAATAGAGATAAGGATGACGGTTTCTAGCTTATCAGTCGCCATCAGCCAGTTTTGCCCAATCCAACACGCGGAACAACTGGCATTTGAACCTGAGACCTTTGGCCATCCAGTCGAACGTTATATTAATGACCTGTCGGTTTTGATCGAGAATAAGAATTATGATGGAGTAGCGCTCACTGGTCGGGTTATGGGACAGACTTCATTATCTGAATGCTTATATATCCACGCTCTCCATGTCAAGCTCGGAAATATTCCGACTACTCTTGGGGGTCTGGCGATATGGCACGGTTGTTACACATTGCCTCTCCTCACCAACGAACACTGTACCCGAGTCCATATGCAAACGAGAAAATGAAACCAAAAAACTTCGTCCTGTGCAGGGATATAATAGTCTTTTCCAGAAAATGTGGTTCTGTTGGCGTTTGTTTGGATTCCAATGAAGGTTTTTTACGAACCCAGACTCAAACAATAACTTAACCACAGTCAGGAAGCCTTGTATCGGAATCGGTGGATATAGCTGATGAAGTGGGTTCCCTCTGTTGCTGTGCTTTTCCGACCACGCAGTTTGGGATTATTCACAAGAAAGACTATTTCGCACGACAAAATTAAAATAAACCGTACACATGAAACCGCCATTTAAGCCACCGTTGCTTCCATTTTAACGGGATTTTTATCATATATCGACTGCCTTTATACGGTCTAGTGCGCGTTAAAATCCTTCCACTCGTAGATACTTATTTAGGAGTCAGCTTTTTCATCTACCTCACTTGGCGCATGCCTAGAAGTCAAAATACGGTCGTCCCTGAATAATTATCGTCAGGAAAACAGCTAACGTGCTATAAACCAGCTCTCGTATAGAAAACCGACCGAGGAGCCGCTGGTGCTCATGTCGGACTTCAAGCAATA